AAGGGGCCACACACCAGGGCCACCCGCCACACCCATGGCCCCCACTCGGGCCCTCGTAACGCGCGTCCCAGGGCACACGCTGAGCAGAGGGCGCCTGGGCGGTGGAGGCGGCGTGCTCACACCGTGCCCAGCAGGAAGCGGGCCCCGCTCCGCTGCCACCAGCCGCGCCCTCCCCGCGCGGGATGCCCTGTCTCCCTCGCAGCATCTACTCCCGCGGGACCGCCCCTCCCGAGGGCGGGACCAACGCCTGCGGTGTCGGTCCTGGTCTCCGCGTTACGAGTGGTTTCCACATTTGTTTTCGGGTACCCTCCTCTTAGGCTTTACCTGTAAGTTTGCTATTAACTTTAAAACTCTTACATGCTAAGGAGTTTACTTATTTACTTTTTCTGTCAGTTTGTCAATAGCCTTTACGTCGTTATAACCTCGGTTGCTTTCGTCGTTGTAATGGCCACGTTTCTCAGTCTTTTCTCTTTTGGTTTCTGGGTTTCATTTCTTGCTTAGAATGGACTTCTCAACCCCAGGAATTCTTTGAGAGTCCATGTTTTTTTCTAATGCACATGGTTTCATTTTTTAAAAATAAGTTATTTATTATAACCACTTTGAATTAATTTTACTCCCAGAAGTAAGAAAGGCCTTCGGGTTTATTGATTTCTAAGTGACCAGCCAAGTTTCCCAACACAACTAGCTGTCATGGTCTCTGCTTCCTGATTTGAAATGCTCTTTTAATCACGTGCTAAATTTCGTATGTCTCTGGCCATATTTCTACCAGACTCTATCCTCTATTCCACTGCCCTGTCAGCACCACACTAGTTCCATCACTATAGTCTTATAACTTATTTTATTTCTTATTTTTAAATTTATTTTTCAATTACAATCGACATTCAATTATTTTATGTTAGTTTCAGGTGGACAACGTAGCGTTTGGACATTTACGAAATTTATGAAATGACGCCCACTGTCCCCTGATTAGTCTGGTCCCCACCTGGCGCCACACATCGTCATTACAGGATGGTCGACCACCTTCCCTGCGCTATGCTTCGCAGCCCGGCGGCTATTTCGTAACTGCCAATCTGTACCTCTTAACCGTCTCCCCTTTGACACCCAGCCCCCAACTCCACCATACCTGGCAACCATCAGTGTGTTCTCTGTAGCTACGGGTCTGTTTCTGTTTGGTTTTTTTCCTTAGATTCCACATGTGAAATCATGTGGCATTGGTCTCTGTCTGTCTGATTTCCTCAGCATAGTTCCTCTAGGTCTGTCCATGCTGTTGCAGATGGCGGGATTTCATCCTTTTGATGGCTGAGTAATATTCCATTGTGTGTATCACCCCTTCTTTATCCAGTCTATTGGTGGACATCTTGTATTTTAATATTCGGTAAAGCTAGTCCTCTCTTTTTTTAATCAGAAAATTCCCACTATTCTGGCAGGTTCCCTGTGCTCCATGTGTCACCTGAATAAAGTTTACTATCCTTGAAGAAAAATTTCAAATTTCATTGATTTTTTTACTGGAAAAATGCTAAATGTAGAGATTAATTATAGTAAACCAAAATGCTTCCAAATTGAGTCCTTCTGTTCACTGTGGTCTTCTACTAGATATTGAAGTTTTCTTCCCACAAGTCTTTCACGTTTCATATTACATTTATTCCTGCATAGTATTATTTTTTGCTAATGTAAATGAGCTGTTTTATTACATTTTCTTACTGGTTATTATTTCTGTGTGGGAAAGCTATTGATTTTTAAGTTTCAATTTATAAACATATCCTTATAGAATTTTCTTATAGTTTTTAGTTTTTTTTTTCAGTTAAATTTTAAACTTCACAAGTATAAAATCATTTCAACTGTGAATAAGAACTTTTTGTCTTCCTTTTCAGATTTTACATTTATTTTCTCTGACTGATCAGACTTGCTAATATCTCCAGGGAAATATTACATAGCAGTGCTGATAATGTTGTTGGCTCTTCACGATTTTAGTGAGAATTCTGGTGCTTCATGTGGCCTTTGGTCAAGGAAGTCTCTACGCCACACGATCAGGAAGATGTTTGTGTGGGGGGAGGGGGGAGTTGAGGGGTGGATGTTGAGTTTTATCTAATACCCTTTAAGCAAATCTGAGTAAGTTATGCAGTTAGTAACCTCTGACCTATTAATATGTACTTAATAGTTTTTCTAATATTCTCGATGCCTTAGATTGGGCCATTCTTGAGCATAATGTATTTGATGTGTTACTGGCTTCTACTGGGTGAGTAGTTTGTTGAAAATGGGTATTAAGTGAAATTGAAATTGGTCTAGAGTTATCTTACGTGTGTCCTTTTTGGAAAACATTGTCTTTCCTTCATGTATAAAAACTGAGGAGTAAAAATGAGTAAAGAAAAAGACAATCAGCCAAAGCTAAAAAAAGAATAAAGAACGCGGTTGCACAAATCTCAAAAGAGGAAACACGCAGGGCTAAAAATACGCAAAAAAAATCACTCATAGCCTGAAAGTTCAAGCTGCAGACACCTAAGGCCTTCTCTCTCACGGTCATGTCCTCAGCGTTGCATAGAGAGGCACATTTCCCAGCCTATTCTGTCCTCACGGCCCCTCGTCCTAAGGCACCGTCCGCGTGGGGGAAGCTGGGCTTTAGTTTCCGTGATAGCGGAGGAGAAGCTCGTTAGTCTCCAAGGTGCTGACCAGCACAGGCCCCTGCCACTGCTCGCTGCCCGGGCGAGCCGAGACCCTCCCCGGGCACCCGAGGCCGGGCCTGGGGCGCCATGCCGAAGCGGGCTCTGGCAGCACCTGATGTGCCCTGGCACCAGCAAGTGGGAGAAGCCCAGGCCTCTGTCTGCCGTGCGGCGCCTGCTCCTGCAGCCCCAACAGGGACAAGGGGGAGGGGCGGGGTGTGCGGAGCCGGGCCCCACCTCACAGAACTGGAAACGTTCTCAGTATTCTGAGCACCGTGAATGAAGCCAGCAGGACAGATGTGAACACCTGGTCTCTCAGCTAGAAGTTTCTCTGAGGGCCCCTGGCCTTTACCCGACCAAACAGACGCCGTCACGGCTGTGTCCCCTCGCCCCCCGTGCTGCCTGCGGCCCTTCCCCTCGCCATCACCCCCGCTTCTGCTGCCCCAGGCCGGCTGCTCGGGCACAGGCACCGGGCGGGGGCGGGGGCCGTGGGGGCCGACGCAGCCCTCCCTGCTCATCAGGGCCACACAGAGCGAAGCTCCGTCCTCCTCCCCCGGCACCGCGCTCACTGCAGCCGTGGCACGTGGAAGGCGAGGCTACTCACAAGACGCAGACACAGGGCGCGCTGGGCACTGACTCACTGTCCCTCAGCAGGCAGCTGCCGTCCGCCCCGTCTTGGAGCAGCAGCTTCTCGCAGGCCCTCTTGGACAGCGGGCCGTGGTAGTAAGGCAGATCCATGGGGGCCCCGCGGACCCCCGACCAGCTCCAAGCCCAGGGGGGCTCTGAGGAGGGGGCTGGGGGGCGCTGGCCCCGCGGGAGGTGCCTCTTCCTGCTCTGGCCGTCGGGAATGACTTGAGGCTGCTCTGTGGACTCAGCTGGTATAACAAGAACAGGAAATGAGAAGTGATGACCACAGCTTTCAGTTCGTAGATGGCCCAAATGTGACTCACGGATGTGGGTGAGAGGTGTCTGAGCGTCCGGCGGGGCCGTGTAGGCTGGTTGGTGGACAGACTCTGAGGCCCTCCTGGGGCTTCAATGGGGAAGTCAAGCTCCCAGAACTAGGGTGCAGCGGCATGTCACCCCAAGTGACCAAGGCCCACCTCCACTGGCTCCGGTACCCCTTGTAGGGCACACATCACTGCTTCCTGTTCAACAGGAGCCCATCTTCGGCTGAAGCTGCCTGTGATCGTGCTGAGCTCCGAAAAGGCTTGGAAAGCGGCCAAGCGCCACGTGGGATCGGATGCATTTGGACACATGGGAGCAGTCAAAAGGGCTTCCAGGGGTCAAAAGGCACGAAGGAGGGATGATGCCAACAGGAACGGAAAGCAGCTGGACTCTGAGGGGGACGGCCTGTCCCTGGCCGAGGCTCCTCGCCACGGGGAACAAGCCCGTCTCCAACACCCTTGGCACTCGGGGACGCAGCAGGTGCAGGCGGGAGGGACACCGGGCTGTGCAGTCAGTGCAGCGATGCGTCCCCATGAAGACCGAGAAGCGTCTATCGGCCAGCGACACTTAACCCGTTTAGACCCCTGGCATTGACGAGAAAGCCCCTTCTGCTTGGCCTCTTCCACCGTGGTCTGTGACCAAAGGTGTCTCTGTGACCTCAGGGCGGGAGGCAGCCCTGGAGGTAATTTCTACGGCCTTTCCCCAGCTTTATCGAGACATAACTGACAGATGACACTAGGTTTCCGGGTGCAGTGATGGGTTGATATTATATATGCCCCTGGAATCACTCCTGGTTTCGTTAGGTGCAGCGGTGGCTGTAAGGGCACTGTGCTTCCGTGAGTGCTCACCCGTGGCTGGGTGGCGGTGTCTGCGGCTCACCGTGTGAACGACTCTATTTTGGGGGGTATTGAAGGTTTTTCAAAATAAAAAAAAAATCTTCCCCTCTTTATGTTTTGCTGATTCCATGCCACCTTTGAGAGAAGCTGCACAGGACACGGCCACGCCGGTCTCTCGTCTATGGAAATCAAAGCCTAGTGACGTGTTCGCAGACACCGCTGGCTGGGCCCGGGGTGGGCCCGACCCAAGAAGGGCTAAGCAGAGACCCTGAGTGAGGAAAGTGGAGGAGACGCGGAAGGGAGGAGAGCGGCTTGGCGGGCGGCAGAGGATGGAGACGCGCCTCCTGGCAACGGCTGGATGACGGGGTCTCTGTGCCGTGGACGGGGGGCCGCACGCAGCGGCCGAGGTGAGAGGGAGAACTCGTCCACGCAATGAAGAGCAAAGCGGGCTCACGGACAGGAGCAGCGGCACCCCGCAGAGCAGGCAAGACGGTCTGCAAACCGTGCGTCTACAACGGGTTAACCTCTAAGTAGTGAAGAACGCACACACCTCAACAGAAAAAACGTATATCCGATTTTAAAATGGGAAAAGGACCTGAATACACATTTTTCCAAAGAGGACATACAGATGGACCAAGAGACACATGGAAAGATGCTCGACGTCACTCATCATCAGGGAAATGCAAATCAAAACCACAATGAGACACCATCGGACACTGTGGGAATGGCTGTCATCAAATAGACGCGGAAGATAAGTGCTGGCGAGAATGTGGAGAAAAGGGGGCCCACGTGCTCTGTGGGCGCAGCCACTGTGTTTGGGAAACGGAGTGGAGGTTCCTCAAAAAACTAAAAAGAGAACCATCATATGACCCAGCAATCCTGCTCCTGGGCATATATCAGGAGACGTCGAAAACGCCAATTTGAAAAGCTATCTGCACCCCTGTGTTCACTGCAGCGTCACAGAGCCAAGATGTGGAAGCAGGCTCAGCGCCCACCGATGGATCGACGGACACAGTGGCCGTGGCACACACGCACAGCGGCGTGTCACACGTCCACAAAGAGAATGGAGCCCTGCCGTCTCTGACGACGTGGCCGACCTCGAGGGCATTATGCTGAGAGAAGTCAGCCAGAGGAAGACAAACACCATAGGATCTCGTTTTATGCAAACTCTTTATAAAAGGGAGAAAAAAGCCAAACTCATAGAAAAAGAGGTCAGACCGCTTGTGGTTACCAGAGGTGGGGGCAGGGGGACTTGGAGGGAGGGGCCTGGAAGGTGCAAACTCCCGGCACCAGGTAGGGCAGCCCTGGGGACGTGATGGCCAGCGTGCCGGGTGACGTGTGGGACCGTGAGGGGGGCAGGCCCTAAGAGTTCCTGTCACAAAGTGGATTTTTTTTTTTTTTTGTATTTCCATGAGAGGAAGGTGATTATGAAAGCTGTGGTCCTCATTTCACAATGCATGCACGTCACGTCGTCGTGCTGGATGCCTCAGACTTACACAGCGATGGGTGTCAACTCTGTCCCAAACACCGAGAGGAGAGCGAGGCCATCTCTTCGTTTCCCACAGGCCTCCACTTCCTGGATCCGGTGGTGCCTGAGGTGGCTACACTCCTGCCCTTGGCTTTTTGCCACTTTAATACATTTTCCTTTGCCGTAAACTAGCTGGTGTTAGTTTTTATTTTCTACTAAAGATGTCAAATCAACCCAGCTTACAGGCAGAAGTCTGTCGTCCAGTCCGAGCGTGCAGGAGGCCAAATATGAGTTCCACGTTTGCACAGTGAGAAGTCCTATGGGAAGTGGACAGTGCGGGTGAACGCGGTGGAAGGCCAAGGCCACCCAGCCGCAGCAGCGTGTGAAACTCGTGCTCCCCAGGAGGCCCCGCAGGGGGCAGACGGCATGCGGCCTCCCGCTCACTCCCTGCTGCCTCATTGTAGAAGAGAAGCTTCGTCCGTCTCCCCAGACAGCTGGCCACGGCGGCAGCATCGTTCCCAGAACTTACGCTACAGTGACGTGCCTCTATTCCTGGCCTCCCCGTGACTCTGGGGGCCGACCTGGCCGGGGCAGGGTGGGGTGCTGCAGTGGTCCAGCACAGTCACTGCCCGGGTCTGGATCCCCGGCCACCACTCAGCACCTAGTGCAGGGTGCTTTGATATCTGTGCCTCCGTTTTCTAGAAAACGGGGGTGGCGATTATACTTGTCGTACAGGGTTGCTGAGAGGGGTAATCGAGGACATGCACACAGTGTTCCTGGAACAGAGTCAGGGCCCGGCCTGTGGTTTTTGTTCTAGAGTCAGAATTCCCTGGGGAGGGCAGCGCTGTCTGGGTGAGATGCCTGGACCTCGGCAAGCATCTTGGGACCACGAGACCTGGCTGCCCTCTGAGGAGGATCTGTGTCCTTGACGGTGGCCCCGAGCTGACCGAGAGGCCCACCTCCTTGGGACTTCCCATGGGGGGACAGGAAATGCCCCCCATTTAGGCTGTTTGAGTGGGTTTTTTTTTTTTTTCAAAGAGGACCCTACCGACACACTGACGTATACTGAAATTTTGCTGTCTTAATTGGTTTGGATTTTAATGTGATCACTCAGTGTGTGCCTGGTCTCACCACGACATTGAACTTGTGCAGCTTCTGACCCCCCTCGCCTTGAACTGCCCGATTTCCCCAGGAGCCTCTGGCAACTGTTGACATGCAGGTAAGCTTCTGAGCTATGTGCCAATTTTATATGACAGAAAATAATTTTATGTGCCTCACTTTAGTAAAAAATTGAAATACTCAGAAGCAAGCAAAGCCCCTGAGGAGTGGAGCTGGCGTGCAGCCTTGCAGCCTGCAAGCAGCCACATCTCTGCCTCCCTGCCCGGCGGCCCCATGCCAGAAACTGACCCCTGCCACCTCCAGGCCCTGGGAGTGCTCCAAGAGGTCTGGGGCTGCCAAGAAAAGGCATGCACACACATGTACGCACATGCCCATCCAACCATCCATCATCCATCATCCATCCACCATCCACCCATCCGGCCATCCATCCATCCGTCCATCTACCCATCATCCATCATCCTGCCAGCCGACCATCCATCTATCATTCATCCATCCATCTGTCCATCCACCCATCATCCTTCATTCGTCCATCCAGCCATGAAATGAGTCATTCATGCAGGGGTCAGAGATGCCTCCCTTGCATGACCTTTCAGGGGCACAGGGTCCACATGGGCCCTGCCCAGCAAGGCCTTTCCCTCGACTGAAGGTCCTGTGTCAGAGAGGTTAGGGACGGGGCAGCAAGAAGAGGCTGAGGGGCTCCAGGGCATGGCTGG